CCATGTGAACGCATGATATCGGATACGACCGATAGCCGTCTGTGTCCCACTCCGGTTGAATTCGCGCTCGAGTTCCTGAAGCCGTGCTTGAATATCTCGGAAATGGACATGTAACTTGTGAGACGTCTTTAGTCTCTCGTTATTCTGTTCTTCGAGGAGCTGTTGGGCAGCTTTGGAGATCTCGGCCACAGAGTGGAGCTGGTTATGTAGTCGACTGATGTCATCTCTCGCGCTTTTCACCCTATTACCGTACTGACCAAGTAACAAGACTATTTGGCTAGTCAACTGAATGACTGCTATAACACTGGCGGCCACACCTAATTCTGCCATGTCCTAGAAGAAAAATGGGCCTAGCGCCTGGATTGTTGGTGATGGATCTTCGTGTTAGGGAAGTTGCCGGCCAGGATATCGCAAGTGGGGTAAAACCGTCTACCCCACCTTCGTTTTTCTGACTAGCGCAAATCTGAGTTGGTTCCCAGATGGTGCGACTTCTGTTCATACAATTTTGACAACGATTTCTCATAAGAGCGTTGCTTCGTCACCAGTCCAGAATACAACGCCCTTGCATAGCCCCAAAGATATCGTCCTGCGAAAATCGATTCTTGACTTAAGGGTTAATAAAATGCCCCAAAGTGCCGAACGAGATGGTAAGTGTATGTGTTTCTTATTCTTATCCTTCTTACCTTCTTTTGACTTAAATTTTCCTCTCAACCGATCCTAATAACCTATTTATGGGATGCAGGAACCACCGACCCTTTCGAGTCGGATATGGATGAGGGAGAACCGATGTTAAAAACACGCGCAGTCCAGATGACAGTACCTCCAGATCCTACTGGGGAGCCTGTCTTAATCATATATTTGGGAGAACCCAGTGCTTCGGATATCATACAGAAAATGACAGGTGTTGAGTTACATGTGGTAGATAATGTGCGGCATGTTTGTCTGCAGAATGGTATCAGGGTGGTTCCAACACCTTCCATGCGCATCAATGGCTTCACTGAGAAGGGTATTGATGAAGTATTACCACCATTGCCAAGCCCTTTATTCGCAACTGCGCTTAGATCAGGCACTTTGTACAAGAAAGAAAAGGCGGGAGAGTCATTTTCGCGCTCAAGTGTATCATTCATCGTTCCAGCAGAGCACGATGCTGATATTATCATGGAGCTTACACTGGGTCGCGAGTGGGGTGATAAGATCCAAAAGACGCTTTTTACATGAATCTGCGCTTTAATTCAGGTGCGCCGGTACCTGGCATCTCGATTGCTTTGAGAAACCAACATTTAAAAAGAGAAAATGTCAATACTATTTCGATCGCTTAGATGACAAAGCCGTGAAAGTAAAATATATTCTAGTATTACATATATGACTCAGAGAGACCATTCATCCTGACACTGATTAACCGCATTAAGAGCGCGATGTATGACAATCGGTTCGATGATTACATGATTCGCTCACATCCCGATCTGACCAATGAGGATTCGAGGCCACTACTTAGGAACCATAGTCGGTCAAGCGCTGTCTTTTCCTTCTTCAACGTCGATATTCTTGTATCTTGACTGATAGACACAGGGAAAAAATGAAGATCTGACGAGGATAGTATTCGTAGGAGGATCTATGCAGCCTATTATATAGGCTGCCTAGGCGGGAGTGCTATTCACTCCCGCCACTAGTGAATGACTGGCCTAATGCCATACTCGATCATTGACACCGTATTCTCGCTTTCTCTCGTATCATTACCCGTTCTAGCAATGGCTATCAGTATGATTTTCTATACGGGCCTTAATCAGGCCTGGATGTCATAGATTGGTAGAGTTAGGCCTCAGGCATAAAAGCCCTTTATATTGACTTAATGATTATACTAGAGAGCCTGGAAGATTAATCCAAGCCCTGACACCCAGCCCTCCATTGACCTAAGGCATTGACTGAGAAGACATTAATTTTCACAAAATAGCGGATCACATGCTCTGTGATCACATGGTGACGTCTCACTCAGCTACAGCTTCATACCCCACCAATATTCGGACTGGAATGAAAAGTCTGAAGCGATGTTAGTGTACCCAGCGCTTTCTTAACGACAATTATTGGGATAATATGGGTCAAACTTCCCTAGTTTATAGCGCGAGATTGTACATGATCTTCTGATAATATCTAACCCATTATGGGTACTATCGATCTTTTATCACAGCGGAATTCATGAGACTCAATTAAGGGGGAAGCTACTTACAAGGGCTTGGAAAATATGCTTGATAGGATATGGTGAGCTCTTGATATGATATGTCTCCTAGTGTTTATTTCCAGCCCACTACCTCTCTCGCCCGATTGCTCGGCTTTTCAAATTCACAATGTATGTAGCACCACTACCCTTAAAGTGCATAAACCTTCATTTTAGGTCAATATCATACCTTCCAGCATGGCGCAGAAATAGGTCCATCTTTAAGCAATCATTCAATCTCGTCGGCCACGGGTTCTGAGCATGAGTGAGAGTCTCAAATGCGACGAGCAGCCCATTATTGTTTTCAAAAGATCGCTGATCCTCGGTGAAATTTTCTGTATGCGGCACTTCCACGCACAGTCTATTATGCAGAGCATTAAATCCTACCTCCGTAACTGTTCCCAGTTTGAGATTCAATGTGCCCCCGCACAACCACGTTGACACCTCCACGGGGTTGTGATCATTTTCAAACTTCGCGTGGAATCCAAGAGCATATCGGAGACGCTCTCCCAGTTCCGTGGCAAAATAATCCAGTCCCTGAATGCATAATGTTTTTAATACATGGGTTATCGAGGTCAATCCATAGCCAGTATGCTCTAAGTCCCGGCAGGTCTCTTGATATTGGCCATTATCATTAAACTATCTCAATCCTAATTTATTTTATGATTTATGGAAGCTGTAGATATTTTATTCTATGTAAACAAAATTGAGAACTATAATAAAAATCCTGCATAATTTTATATAAAAGAGCCTGGATTTACAACCTGTTAAGATATAATTTATATCAAGCATAATATATAAATAAAAAGAAAAAAATTAAACGGATTCAAAGGAAAACAATAATAAGAGAATAGTCATATTAGCTATCTAGATATACGTATTAAAATCATATCAAAGAGTGCTTTGTATGGTTGGCCTGGGCGCCAGGCACGTGAGTAAGCCTACATGAATGCCCGAACATCAGTTATCCCCGATATAGTTAGCTTAGGCTTCTCCTTGACTGGACTACCATATCTCAAAGGAAACCAACTCACCTGACCGCTAGGATCCGCCCATGGTCGCTCAGATGAAAATCCAGATAGAAACTCATACCAACCGCCTTGACCCGCTTGGCCAGCTCCAAGTTGGAATCCAAATTGTAAATGCCATTACTAGCATTGACGTACAAACACTGGCGAACAGGATTGATGCCGGCTTCAGCGAGGATAGTCTCGAGTGCCTGGGATTGGATCTTTTAGATTCTTGTGGCGATAACATCTTCTAGCTTCAAAAGAGAAGGAATGTCCGCCTCGCGATAGGTGAGCGCGGCATGGAATAGAGTCGGCAGCGCCGCCAGCAGCAGAGGAACGAACATAGCGAAAGAACTGGGTGGAGAGTTCAATCTGGCAGAATATCAGACAGGAGCACGGGGGAGATTGCCGCTCACGCGGGCATTCATAGTCTTCCAGAGGGCAGGCAGGGGAGGCGTGAATGGGAAGATGGCAGCCATGGCCGTTTCCGACAACCAGCCCGGGCACGGAGCTTAGGCCGTAAAGAACCGGTCTGCGCATCTTAGCGTACCCCTAAGCTCGCTGGGATTCTCCACGCATTAATCTATTCTAAACGAAATATGAGTCGAATGGGATTCGAGGAGACTCAACGCGTCCATTTTCATTGGTGGAGGACTAGAATGAGAGGCCGGTGTGAGATGACCGGTGGCATGCTGGCGGCCTCAGTAGGCGGCATTGCAATGGACGCAGGCAAAGGTACAGACAAGGTCGGCGATATAGGGAGGATATAGTGTCCAAAAGGATTCCGACCATTTAAGACGTGTTTCCGATTGGCTGGGTTCGGGATTTGAGACTGCCGGAGAGGGCTCTCAAGGCTTACGCAAAAACCTGTTTTGAAAAGGCTTGAGCCCACAACAGCCCGTGGAGATAGTAGTGGTTATCGGGTATGCGGCAATTATAGTGCACCTGCATGTCTCTCTGTTCGATCAGTTAGAGGCCTCAGCCCTATGGAAAGACCCACTGCAATAAGGCTACTGCATTCAAATTTTGCCAGAGAAGTGGGTCCCACGGGAGGTATGTCGGCTGTGAGAAAGCTTCTTTTGTTGAGAAAAAGAGGTAGGGACTTCTCATTAATCAAAATACTTGGAGGTTGGACTGAGAAGCGGCAAATTTTGATACAAAAATTGCGCGATTCAACTATCCTGGATATATCAGCCTATCTCTCTGAAGGCTAATAAGCTGAAATGGGATACATACGCGACGTCTAGCCCTATCGGCTAGGTATGAAAGTTCGTTCTCAACGAGGACCTGTCAGGCTTCTTAGTGGCTTACTGAATGAGGACCTTGGGGTCACTGCCGACTTAGCACCATAGACTTGAATTCAGAGGTCGCGTCCCAAACATTTATAAGAATTGGATTCGCTGTAGTTGAGACCTATCAAGCATTATAATATTCCATGGACTATTCTAACCATGAAATACTTCAATATTCACATTATCTGCGCTTCAGTGGCCTTCGGCCTCTTGGGCTCAGCCAAAGGTTTGGATGAAAGTATTATCGCAACGGTTGTTGACCTGCCCTCTTTCATCAAGGAATACCAGCTTCATGCAAGTTACCTTAGTGCTGCAGCAAGAGCAAGCAGGTTATCCAATGTCACTTCCATGATGCACCTTGGCAGCTTGCCTGGGGGCCTTTTAGCTTTTTTCTCGACTCACTGGATTGGCCCACTATGGACCATGCGGCAGTTATGCCTGCTTTGGATCATCGGCGTAGTTGTTTTCATTACATCGGCTGGCAATATGGGTCAACTCATTGCTGGTCGGTTCATCATGGGTATGGGTGTCGGCCAGGCTGGTGTTGTTGGACCGATTTACCTAGCCGAAGTGGCGCCAACGGCTTCTCGAGGTCTATTGGTCGGTCTCTATGCGTCATCGGAATATGTCGGTGTTTTAATCGGGGTGTGTCAGTGTCTGAAATCAACTGAGGAATATTTGTTCGCTAATTCCATATTTTGATGAACATAGTACTTTTCCGGTTGGGGAGCCTCGCTTCATATATCCGGCGATAGCAACACGCAATGGATCCTACCAGAAAGTATCCATATCATGGTGGCCGGGGTGTTACTACTTTTCTCAATCGGCTGCGTTGAGAGTCCTAGATATTTGGTCTACAGCGGTCACGTATCAAGGGCTACAATAGCTCTTGCTAAGCTGCGGGGTTTTAGCCCAGAGGATCCCCGTATTATTGAAGAGGTACAAAGTATTAAGCGTGAGGTTTCCTCAAAGAAAACCACGGGCAAGCCCAAGTGGTCCTTTGTAGGGCAATGGAAGGCACTTTTTGCAAGAGCCAATCTCCATCGATGGATGTTTCTTTTGTCTGCGCAACTTCTCAGTCAATGGTCCGGAACAAATGCTATCACAAGTGGGTTCATTACTCCTACCCCCTTACTCCTCTAAGCATAAGGCTGACATCAATGGCATAGCTTACGCACCTAAATTCTTCGCGCTGTTGAATGTGGCCGGGAATTCCGAAAAACTGTTCAAAACAGCTATTTTCGGAGTAGTAAAACTGGTCTCTGCGCTTATTAGCGCATTCTTCTTCGTTGATCGCTTTGGAAGAAAACGCACCCTCTTAGGAGGAATAGTACTTCAGCTCCTCGCTTTGCTCTATATTGCAATCTTCATGACAGCTTGGGATGCAGCTGGCAAGTCAGACTCCAGTAATGCGCTTAGAGCAGCTGCCGGTTCCGTGGCTGCTCTATACGTTACAGGAGTCGGCTATGCTTTCGGGTGGAATTGCATCCAATATCTGATTAATGCTGAGATTCTTCCTTCAGAAGTTCGTACCCTGGGGACAAGTCTCCTCATGTGTGTTCATTATGCCAATAAGTTCGCACTGGTGAAGGTAAGCTTACCCCATTTCGCTCTGATTGAACTGTTGTTGACGAGGCTAACCGATAACAAGGCCCTGCCAAGTATGATGCTTGATGATGCTTTGCAGCCCAAGGGGACATTTTGGTTCTTCTTTGCTGTTGCATCAATAGGTCTTGTATGGGGCATTGTCTGGCTGCCAGAAACTTCACAGAAAAGCTTGGAGGAAACAAGCATTGCATTTGAGAAGCAGTCGACAAAGAATCCGTGACGAGTTCAAAATATACTATTTGCATAGAAGCGTCCAGAGTGACAGTTATATGAGCCTGGCTTGTACGTTGTATCGATCACCTGTCCAGCATCATTCTACCTTACCGTCATGTTGTGCTTTTGTTGAACCCACGAATTGTATTGATTTTCAGTCTTTACTTGATGTAGTTTAGCCAGAAACCTTCTGTCAAGGCACGCGTGCTACAGCGAAAGCAAGCAAGCAAACAAAATGAAGCAAAAGAATGCTGCAAAAGAGGGTGGTTATATCAAGTATTTAGAGTATATAGTAGAACAAGAATAAAATAATACTCTATCTAGCAGCTTGGGTATATCAACACGAAGGATGATCTCATGCGCTGGGTACCCGGTGGCAACGACTCCTCAGCTCTCCTTCCACTGCCTGACTACTGTATTCCGAACACTGGCTCTGAGGAGCTAGCAACTGTCCTAGTTATGACTGTACCTAACTCGTCAGGCCCCTTTGCTGCTGAACTTGCCTCCATTATGCGCTCACTCCTTGAGAATCCTCGGGAAGTCACTAGTGGGTATTCACCTACAGGCCCATGTTGATTCCAAGGGATCCGGCGCAGCCACACAAGCGATCCAGACAAAGCTGCCGGAGAACTACATCACCATTTGTGTTAGCCTAATGCACTCACCGTCGCGCGGGACCTGGCACATATCATCTGCCAACGTGCCGAAAAACCCATCATCAACCCAGTTACCTGACCTGCAGCTGCTCGCGCGATACACCCGCTTCATTGATGTGAATGCTGAATCACAACCGCTCGCATCCATGCTGAAACCGTGTGGCAAGCATATCCTGGGTTCGCTTGATGCACAGGGACTACGGGTTGTGGATCCTAGGGTTATCCCGATTGATCCGGGGGGGAATGCTCAGAGCGCAGGCAGAAAATCTAGCGAATTCCAGACCCACGAAAGTTCTTTATCGCGAGTCTCTAAGATGAATTGCAAGATATATAGATGACTATGGTACAGTCCATAGTGAAACGAGGTTAATCCGTCGGTGTCCACCAACAATATATTATGGCCTTCATTCATGAGCTTGCGGACCACTTCAAAGTTCCCTGCTTTGCTGGCAAGGCGGCTGTGCTGTGCCGTGCTGTCTACCTGGCTAAACCTGTATACGGACCTCTAGACAGGAACTACCCCTCCCCTCGTCTGCGGCTTCAACAGCCCCAACATAACCTGTTTCGACCTCGAAGCTGCCCACTCATCCACTGATCTCGTCTCCTCCTCTTCTCCCTCAGCCAGCACCGGTATCTTCCCTCCACGGATCCTCCGCATGGATGCTGACTTCGCCGGCCTGACCAAATACGCCACACTCCGTCTCGGCACGAATGCCTGTTCTCCGGGTGCAGTTAAAACCCTATGCAAGGAACTCCGTAGCAGCTGACCAGTACACTCTACCAGAGCATCACCAATATTGACCAGCGCACAGCCCGGCATGGGTCGAACAAAACGCCAATTCTCCAACTTATTCTCGAGCCCCGCAGGGAGTATCTGTAGCCCTCCAATAACTTGGAATAGCAGCGTCGTTGTCCCAATATCTGTGTGTCCGCCTAACGAGATGCGAGCTTGATTTGCTTCACCGAATGCGTGGGGAGGGCTGCATAGCAAGCGGACAGAGGTCTCGGACTCCTGATCTAGTGGACTGAGTTTGCTCAGTGTACTGCGTTCGAGACCGAGATGGTCATCCAGCGTTTTAAGAATCACGTCTAAAGTTGATGAAGCGTGGCGGATGAAGTTCTGGATCTGGGGGCGATGTGCCTCGATCGGGGGTGCGTTGGTGCGGGGAGCACGATTACCCAGAATATCGTCCTGGTTAATGTTGTAGAGGTGCATGTGGTCGAGCTTGCCATCGTCGGTTTTGAGTGCTCCCATGCGCTTATAGCCTGTAAGGTCTCTCGGCGCGTTGTAAGCGTATTGGTCGAGTGTTGCCTGATCGAGGGAGAAGAGTTCAATGTCAAGATCGAACATGGTTTCTGCATCATGGAGGAGGGTCCTGCCTTCTGCGGAGTCGTGTAAGTCAATTAGGAAGAATCCCCATTCGCGGCAGGCGGCAAATAACATCTCTCCTTCGGTTGGGTTGCCGGATTGTAGGTCCGAAAATGAGAAAATGGGAAGGTCGATGGTCGGCGTGTCAGCGGGGAAGGGGGGAGCTTGGGCGAAGTAGCGAGTGGTGGGCATTGCTGGAGTGAATGTGTCTTTGTGATGATTATATGAAGAAGTCGACTTTTCGTTGGTATTCGTTGGGGATGGTGGGATATATATAATATATTCACGGCTACAGGGAGATGAGGACGAAGTTGTGGGGTGATACCGTGGTTCTCGGTGGTCGCGGCGAGACAATGTGAAGGAAGAGTGTGGCCTACTTATCTTGTTAGCCATGGAATGACAGCCTTGTGTACATGTTTAGTGCTTATTGTCAGCGTCGATCGTAGCGTAATAGTGCTTACGCATTCGTCTCTCCCGCGTGCGCACTGGTCAGAGTTAGATCGACACATGCGATGACAAGTAAGTACTCGGCAAAATGCTATGACAATGAATCATAAGACCAGCAGAGATCCATTAATACTAAGGTGGGGAGACTTCCGTAGTAAAATAAATTCCTTACACCCAATCGTACTTTTACTCAATCAGCACCTGCCCCTCGAACTTCGATTACACGCATCTGAGATAATAAAACGATTTCATCTTATAAAGCCAACACTTCCGCCAAGCTGTCCATGGTTTGTATTTGCTTGAGCCTCACTGCATGCTTTGCGCATATTACACCCAAACAACAACATTGGCAGTCAATTAATGAGAAAAAGGATCTAATTAAAAATTATGACTGTGTGTTGGCTTTCATTTACTTCGGTCAAGTTTCCATATGATTGTTCATCCATTTCATATTCCGAATATTATCAGTTTAATACCCCTCTCTACTTCACATGTATTAATAACGATTTCTGCGTCCACATCTTCCTTCATATTCATGCAGTATCTACATTACAATCATGATATGCTTGTAGAAAAGAGAAGGTTCAGTACGAGACAAAGCACATAGTCGAATGTAGTTTACGCAACTAGCATAATGCTCTAGGCAGTAATATCACGAGCAGAGACAACCGTCGCGAAAGCATCCTCCAGCTCACTCAACGCCACATTCTTCAAAGTTGCAGCCTCCACTCCAGGAATATTCCGATCGCCCACCGCATCACGCACAACTAAAACCTCATAACCAAGTTCATTGCCAGCCCTGGCAGTCGTAGAGACACACACGTGCGCCATATAGCCGACCAGCACGATCTTCTTTCCAACAGCTCCGAGACTGCCCAAGTACTCGTGCAATTCCGTCTGGGCAAAAGAACTAGGGAAGTTCTTGCTGATGACCTTCTCCCCAGGCACAGGGGTGAGTTCGTCGAACTCATTTTCTAGGTGCGTGTTCGGAGTGAAGACGGGAGCGCCTGGTGGGGTCTGGTGAACAACATGGACGATGTTTCTGCCGTTGTGAGTACCGTTGGTGCGATACTTAGTCAGAAGGTCTGAAATTACTTTGCGGCTTTCGGAGACGCCCTCGATCTGGAGGTGGCCGCAAGCGTATTCATTTTGGGCATCAATGATGATCAGGGTTGAGTCTTGGGTTGAAGCGGTTGAAGGAGGAGCACCAAGAAGTTGGCGGAGAGATTTTGCTGGGGCGGATGAAGACATTGTGTTAAATAGTAACCAGGGTTGTGGAGAGAAAGTATTGGCTGACGAGTAATGCTAGTCTTGTGTAGAGTGGGATATCGTATCTGATGTGTGAGACGGAAAGAGGATCTGAACAGACAACGCAAACCTACTTATAGACAAAGACGCCTATTATATTACTCAGTATTCCGCACTTCGAGAGGCGGGGTAACTAGATGAGAATGATGTCTTATTTGGAGCCATGACCGACTCAAATAGCCCACGAGCTGACTGTGGCGAATAAGGTCATGCTATTCTTCGTCTCTACTTCTTGGCGGAATATACTTCCGTTTTAGGTTAGACCAAATGCACTGGGTCAGCGGATTTTGTTTTGTAAAATTGCTCCTGCAGATGCATCCTCGACGTTTTCTGTCGATGCTGTCGGTAGGAAAAATGGATGGAAGTTATGGGATGGAATCGGTTTTGAGAGCCTGATGATCCACCTTGTTGAATTCTCAAAGCTCGAGATTCTCTTAAATAGTGCTACTTGCTGCAATAATCTCTCGTAGTATTCCGTTGATAGATCCGAGTAACGTTTGCATGGCTACTAAATAGTCTATGATCCTGTTTGTCTATATGATGATCAGAAATACACACATAACGATAAGAAATTTCTCCAAAATTTCAGTTACCATTTTTTGATCAATTGAAAATGTGTTGTATACTAGTTACCAGCCACTGTCCTTCATAACATTTGTGCCGAATGTTAAACACAACTTAGGTAATAGCTGACACATCCTTAACGCCCAAATGTTGGATGGAGTGTTCCGGCGTTGCATTCGCCTCCATCAAGCATCATCGACCTGCATACTGTCCCCACTATTAATTTCGGCCTAGCCTGCATTCACGAGGAAGCTGAGCCGACTAGTTGCACCCTATTGATTTGGATGGTTTAGTTGGGATCAATGTTTATTTCTGGTGTAGATTGCCATGAGGGTCAAGCAACGGTCCGTTTGCCAAAACTGCAGATCGAGGAAACTTGGTGTACGTGGGTCATCATTTTACTCCGAAGAAAGAGGCTCATTCCATGCATAGTGCGACGGAAAGTCACCTGAGTGTAGCCAGTGTCTACTAACAGGCCGCCAATGTCCGGGGTACCCAGTGAACTGGTCCTTCGTACAGAGCCAATCAAAACCTGCCCAGAGTAGAAGATCACCATCGAACATTTCAAATCGGGATCACAGCCCCCGACACACTGCAGAACATGAATCATCCTTATCGAACATTGCTTTTCGATCGGTGGAAGAAACTCATTTGCTTCCAACTTTAGGTGCAGGCTACAACTTGCATCGTGCCGAGCAGGTTGACTTCATCATAAGGAGCTATGTGCCTAATGAAGAGTTAGAGCTCCCTGGCATTATCTCTAGTGAGCCACGGCCTCGCATATGTGGATCATGGGTCGAAGTTCTTCCCAGTCTGAGCGAAAACTCTGACTCCAATATCATTATGGCTGCCTCAAAAGCTTTATCCACCTCGCTTATGTCCCGGGGATTTCCAGAAAGAGTCTCAAGTGTCGACACCACACACAACTACCTTAACGCACTCAAATTGATGCGAAAAGAGCTCAGCACGGCGAATATGTCGTCAGATCGAGAGCTACTGGCATCAATAATGTGCCTCAGCTTGGCAGAGGTCGGTCCTGCTTCGTGGTATCTGATTTTAGGGGGCGCTTTGCTTACGCAATTTAGGTTATGTTTCCTGGGCCAAGTGAAGGCTTAAAGATGCATATAGATGCCGTGGCGCAAATCCTTCAGGCAAATGGACCCCAACGTTATCAGACCGGCGTTGCCCACAGGTTATTTATCGGCTTCCGCCCGTTGTTGGTGAGTCGTACATTCCAAAGTCCGGAGTGTTTTTAATCCCTTGTAGATGATAAACGCCATACAATGCCGAACTCCATCTTTTCTGGGGTCGGATAACTGGAAGACGACACCATTTGCAATACTTAGCCCATCCCCAATGCAAAGCCTTCTCGGCCAGGCCGCTGCGCTTCCAACTATTTTGCATACATTGGACAACTTATCTGGTCCAGATGCTTCAGATAAAAACCAATACGAGTGTGAACGCATATTGAACTGCTTTAATGACTTGTTACACGGGTTAAACAATTGGGAGACATCTGAATCTATCAATGTGACGTCTCCCCTTTACTGGTACCGGGATCAGGATCCAGAAGAAATCCCGTGTATTTGGTTTCCTAGTATCACTATGGCCAACGCAATCACCTATATATGGGCGTTTCGTATCATATGTCTCTGCGAGATGGAGCGTCTTGCGTCGTCTCTCCCACAGCCGAGCACTGAATACCTGAGGATCTTGAAGGAACAACACATTGAAAGTGTCCACAAAAGTTCAGAGACACTCATGAGACGGATATGCGAAAGCATGGAGTATCTTCTCCAGGAGGAAATGAAACTCTTCGGTCCTGCTTCTACAATCCTGCCTCTTCAGGTGGCCTACGCGGTAGCCACAATGAATGGTAATCAGCACAACGGGCAATTACCCATCCTGGAGAGAATTGTCGAGCGGCTAGTTCTCAAAGGACTTCAATCTTTTCCAATGTTGATATTTGAAAGGAATTCTTTCCTTCACAGATGGGATAGATTATCAAACAGGCAATTGGCATAACTGATGGGTGCGTGTTCATATAGATAATATAGTAACATGAAATTGCAGTATCTGTGAGTTACATTCACAGACTCGAAGTGGATAACTAATGGAGAATGTTGCAGGTGAATGGAGAAAAGAACAAAGAAGTCTGTGATCTCGACTGATAATTCACTGGAAGCCTGTGGCAATACAATTCCCGACCGCGTGGATGTAAATTACTCACACCAGCCATGCATACCCTCCTACACTCTCAGTCTATCTTTATAAAAGTGGGCAATTACCACCACGAGGGAATTAAATAGCTTCTAAGCAACATCACCTTAGGGAACCAAAGAAAATGCAACTTCAAGACACACAGACTCCCTAAACCTCAAACAACCAAACAGAAACCCCACCAAACACCCCAAAATGGACATCATCCACCACCAAAACCACCTCTCCATAACCACCGCCCTATCATACCTCACTACACCCATCCAATCTTACTCCCTCCGCCGTATCCGAGCCGAATTTCTCGCCGCAACTAAAAACGGTCCAACATCCCCACAATGCGATTTCATCTCATTCCGGCCAGCCAGCCCCGACCACCTCTTCGATATCATCGGCACAATAGTCGGCCCAGTCGGCAGCCTTTACGAAGGAGGCATTTTCCATATCCACATCCGCATCCCACCATTGTATCCTGATCTACCGCCGGTATGCATGTTCATGACGAAGATCTGGCATCCGAACATTGGTCCATACGGGGAAGTCTGTTTGAATATTTTGCAAGATGAGTGGAGCCAGGCACTTTCTGTGAGGACTGTTCTGCTGTCGCTTTCTGCTATGTTGGGGGATCCGGGGATGGGGGTGGAAGGTGGTAATGTTGTGTATGGCTTTGCGAATGAGGACGCGGGGAGCATGTTTTTGGGTAATCGGGCGATGTTTGAGATGGCTGCGAGAGATTGGACGAGCATGTATGCCTCGGGGGCGGACGCTCTAGAGTGATTGTTTGCAGGCGTGTGGTGTGATTATGTCTGGGGAGGCGTATCAACATATTGGCCAATACTTTTGTACAATAGCATTTCCTTATGCAGCATACCTTTGGCAGAAAAGTCTTTACTAGGCTTAAATTTTTAATACAATTGCTTCCCTTTCAATAACACACACACAGCTTTGGCTCTTTGGGGAGAAAATATAAGCATTGTCAAGGCCAATCAATTGTCGTTTCAGCTAGCTCGTCAGTGAGATTTTTATGACTGCCCAAGGCTAGGATAAGGACCCCCCTTTACTGTAAAACTTGGTAAATATCTTCCAATTGATTATCATAACTGCTTTACAAGAAGCACATACCAAGTGCAGGAATGCATCTAGCATGGGCCGCAGTAAGTATCTGCAAATCAGCCTATGTTCCATGACCAGTCATGGAGAACACCATCATGCCTGAGCAGCGAGCGCCTGGATATCAGCCGTTTCCAAACCCACCCCATCCCCCTGATAACCATCCTGGGACCCCAATATCAACTGTCTAGCCTCCTGCTGATTCAACCCGTACCAAAGCATAACCCAACCTCCATGCTGAAACCTCCCCGTTGCGCGAGCCGAAAACCACTCAAGTCTGTCATCATCATCACGGACATTCCAGACCAGCTGGGGAAAGTCTTTGGTGATACGAGCAAACATATCACCAGCAACAGCACCCGCACCCATAATTCCACTCGGGAACGTGATCAAATGCGGTGCGCCACCAGAGGCAAATGCAACGACGGCCAACGGACTCAAAGATGACGGATCATTGAAATACATCTTGAGCGGCCGATTCCTCCGCATCTCATTCACACAAAACCTCACCTCGTCGTCCCCGGCTCCCTGCCGTGCCAAAGCATGTACCAACCTCTCCTCATCCCTAAATTCCGCAGAAGTAGTACTATAGATCCTCGTTCCGCGCTCAATCAAAGTCCCTGCACCAGAGGCCGCAAAGACCTCCCGCTGCAAATCCACGGGATGAACAATCGACACACTGGACGTACCCGGTAAGCCACGTAAAAGTTCCTCCACAGCACGAATCTTCAACCTCGTCCCATACTTCACCCACTCTTGAGCCATGAGGTTCTCAAACTCCTCGCTCAGATTGATCCTCTCAATCCTCTTGCCCGTCACTCCATGCATTAAGCCCCCCTTCTCAGCAAGATAAACCACCTTCTTCGGCTTCAACGCCCTTGCCAGCTCACTAGCCGCAAGGTCCGCATTCACATTAAGCACCTGTCCATCCCTCGTCTCCGCCATAGACGTAAGAATGGGTAGGCAAGACGCCCTCATCGCCGAAACAATCGGCGCCGTCTTCACCTTCGTTATCCGTCCAACAAGACCATATCTCTCCTGATCGAGGTGCTCAGCCTGGAACACACCCGCTGTGATCGGCCGCGCCTCAACCCCGATTTCTTCGAGCGCTTGAACCAATTTAAGGTTCTCGTCGAGGAAGAGTCTCCGAGCAAGAGCTAGGGTTTTGCCATCTGTCACGCGGATTCCCTCTTCGAAGTGTGGTTCCACGCCTGCATCCTCGAGGATCTTGTTGAGCTGGGGTCCGGCCCCGTGCACGATAACGGGGTATAGGCCCATACGACTGAAGAAGGCGAGGCTTGATGCGAGGGTATGGAGGTGGGTATCGAGTATCGCTCCGCCGACCTTGATGACCGCGAAGGGCTGTTGTGTAGGGGACTGGGGTGTGGTGAAGTGAGAGAGGTACTGTGCTGCAGTTCGCTGGGAGTCGATGTGGTTGAGGATTTGAGCAATAGTCGATCTTGTTGAGGAGACCTGATAGTCTATGGACGGCGAATACTGTCGTATTTGGTGGGATGTGTGGCAAAGGGGCTGTTGTTGGCCGAGGAATCTACGAACTGTGGTTTGCCCCAGGAAGGATAAGGCACAGCGGGGGAACGACATTGCAGCGGTAAGTATACCACGAGAAACTAGATATGAGCTGGCTACACCTCAGAAAGAGGGATGGAGTGAGCCATTTTATGTCCTCCAGAACTCCACCTGACAAGATGTGTCACCCACGAGTCTACATTTTTGCGTAAGGGACTGGCTGACAACTCTTCTCCGTAATTTATTTCTCGCTGCGACTATTTCAATATTTCTAGAGGCAACAAGATACAACGAGCATTCTACTAGGTCTGGTGTCTCAAATCCCGCACAAGCACGGGCCACACATACTCCACGGAGTACCCCTACTGGACAAATCAGGGCCAAGCCATATTTAAGCCCGCAAAAACGACGTATCACAAAACGCATCCCACCTGCATGAGCACATTACTCTCTCCAATGACATCGGTCGCATACAAATTTTGGACCTGTTCACCTGCAAACACCTCGGGCACGTACACGTGAAAGTGAACAACTCCTGATTTTCTTCCGACGTGCCTGTAGGTCAACGTATTCAGACATGTCAAAGTAAGAGTACAGCACTCTTTGTTTGTATCAAAATCCCCCAGCGCAGTCACCACCATTCGGCCACGGTCGTCGACTTGCTGCGTCACCTACGTGGTAGGATGGATTAGTGAGCGACAGGTCAATTCTGGGACACGAGGTTGGGCGGGAAGTGGGATGTGTGCTTACATTGGGCGCGCAAGAGTGATTGGCGAGCGTGATCCGCAAGAACACAGCTGGGCCGTATTGCTTGCCGCGCTGGACGCCCGGAGATTGATGTGGGATGATCTACGCGGGCCGAGGCGAAGATATAGTCCCAGTAAATGAATGATTGATAACCACCTGCCGTTCTCACCATAGTATAGAAAAAAATTTTTTCCGAGACGCTTGTTTCATGAGCGCAGATCAGGTCGAATAGGGTATCGAGATCAAGGGTCTGTGGGAGGAAGAAGGCTTGTAGCAGATACGTTTCAGCCAGAGTGGACCAGTGTTGAATTTGGGATGGGGGCCGTGAGTCACGGTTGTCTCTAAGGGGCTGGATGCTCTTCCAGCCGCTAACGAAGAAATATTGGTACGTGGACTGCTGGTGGAGATTGGTTGGCGTGGTGCCCTGAAGCTCGAGGTACCGGGCTGCAAGGAGCAGGACGACGATCCAAGGCATGTAGTAATCGTGAGCATCGGGTTCCTGGGGAAGAACGGGCCTGTACTTCTTCAGCCAGACGCATCCAAAGTCGTGACGCGCTTGGCCTTCGTCTTTGCAAGACTCGTTACAGCAACAGACATCGAGAGACCAGCCAGTCTCGCAGGTGACTCTACTTGCTGCATTCCGGGAAACGCGACGACTGCAGCCCAAGTTGCAGCAAATGAGGTCGTCGCTACTCCCAACGGCCAGGGTTGGCAGCACGGCATAGGAAAGGTCAGCCATGAGGTGCTCTCCGGTGCGGATGGGATCATTTGTACTCAGGGTTCAACCTTTAAGGGGATTGTAGGTCTAGGTCGGGTGCGGATGGAGGATAGATGGCTCAACTCAGTGAGTTTGCAAACTGGGTCTTGCGGATCTATTTACCGACAATACTGTAAATGTCAGTATTGATAAGCCAGTTGTGTTGCAGAGAAGACAGTGATCCGATCATTATGGCTGTCCACGTCGTATAGCTAGTCCTCGATGGAGATAAGTGGAGAAAGGCATAAGACATACTCGATGACCTTCGTATGTAGCGCCAACCGTTGAAGTGACTCCTTTAACCTCGAAAAGCTAGTAGACTTGGCCGATGGTAGGCATAGCTCATCGAAGATGAAAAGAAGAAGTAGATATTTTGTCTTTGTGAAATATTGTAGCCAGCTTTCTGATAATGGCCTCTCATTTCACCTGCCACAAGCACCTATTTATAGCCGCATCTTACACTCAGTGATGGTTTTACGGCATCGTATGTCGAGAAAACCTATCTTTAGTAGCAGTTGGGCATCTGGAACACGCAGTCCAAGTTGCCTCCATCAAGCGAGTGGATAATCCCCACCGACGGCGTGCATCCTCTGTTTCCTGATCATCTGTTCGCCAGGAGCCTTTCAGGGTAGCACGTCAACTCCAATGATCCATACAGAAGGCTCGTATTATCAACAATATCAACCTTGCCCGGTAGAATGCAGACAAGCGGTACCTGCTGGATGTGGGGCAAGAAGGTATCAGTATTCCCAAGCCCAAAGGTGTGAGCCCTTGGAAGTACAGTGTGACTAAATTGATCGCCTTGGTGCATGACTTCCTCCGCTCGGAGTCTGTAGTACTGAAACCATCGATGTCTGCATCTCCCACGCTAACCCGGCGGATCACAAACATGTCAGCGCTTTCCGCGGATGATTCTACCTTCCTAGAGCTTTGCACTTTTGGGCGCCTTCAAATCTCTTTCTTCATCCACAGATTCGGGTCTGCAGTTTCAAAGGGAGAGTTCTCATTCGTCTTCGTGTGTCCACATCTGTGGCCCATGTCATGAGGAAAGCCCCCAGCAAGGGAGACTACCGAGTCCAAGACAAATATGGTGGATTCACTAGACCAACAAGTGTCCTTTACAAGGCTACTCAGGTGCATCATAGAGGATGTGCTTTGCAAAACACTATTCTACTAAATCTGCAGCTAGTAGTTGTTTAGAATCCCGGGAAGCAAAGAAGTCCACGCTGTAGTACTGACACTTCTCACCCGTGGTCGGGGATTTTTTGACTGTCATATGTAATACGTCTGTTATTTTGTATACTATTGCTACTATTTTATGGTGTTCAATTTGAACGCTTGATGAGTGTGAATAATAATGAAACTGAACTATAGTCGACACCGGTTATATATATCTACTATAACCAGCAGTCGTTTTCAAATAGGCCAGGCATGATTATAGTGCTGTGATTGAGTCAGCTACTAGACAACATCTTAACAGTGCTGCTGAATATACATATAGAAATATTGTAAGTTAATTCGAGTATCTTTCCTAGCTGAAAGCCATGATGATGATATGTGTCCGTTTATGCTGCATGATCGGCTAAAGACTAAGCTTCCTTAATTATGCATAATTTACGAGCTGATTTATATAATCACGGCAAGATGGCCGAGTTGGTCCAAGGCGTCAGGTTAAGGTCCACCTTAATACCCAGCTTCATAGCTTCCTGATCATCGTAAGATGGCGTGGGTTCGAATCCCACTCTTGTCATTTCTTTTTTTCTTCGCCAACTTTTGTATCTTCCACCATTTGGTAACCATCATAAAAAATTCTGTTATTTTGTTTTTGTAACTAGAAGAAGTGATTATTGTTCTCTGACCATTACCCCTTCGCCTTTTTTTCTTCTACCCCCGCTTTTAAGTAAATGCCCTTCACTTTTTCATAAATAAACGCTATACTACAAGCATGTCATTCAGCTTGCTCCGCGCCAGAAACAAATAATAACCTTTCCACTCATTCTCAGCAACATACAACGAGCCCAGCCGTAGCAAGCTACAACAACAGCTGGATGTATGCCAAACAAAGGCGTCAGCAATTCTCAACCCCACAAGACATCCAGCGTTAAAGATAGCAGTATATACCGGAACATTCGGCCAACATAACACCCCTACTACTAGTACTAATAACTTATAAGAGCGTCCATCCCACCCCAATATCAACACAACATCGATAAACCACATCACCCTTCCCAACTAAACCTCTACCAACCCCCTCAACCCACCAACCACTCCGTAACCCTAACCACCCACCCTTGACAATTCCCTCTCATCTCACTTCTCCTTGCCCTCGGCGGCGGCTACAGGTGTTATAACGACAGGATAATTTCATGTTGCCTATGAAGCAAAGAGAGCTATTTATTTTTCACCCCATGCGTTAGTGGTGTAACGGTAACATTCAACCCTTCCATGATCTCCTGCGATAGCAAAGATCGAAAGGTTGGGCCCTGGGTTCGACTCCCAGCTAACGCATTTTAAAGCATATCTTTTTGCATTCTGCTCCTGATGTCTATTAATATTCTAATCCTATTCTTTTGTAATGAGACTCCGTGTTTGTTATCTCGCTAATAATACATAAGTCAATTCTGATGGCGTGTGGTGAAACTCCGTGTTCTTATCTCGCTAATGATACATGACTGAACTTTGACGGCGAGTGGCTCGCCCCGATCAAGTGTAGTCGCTGCTCTCCTACAATACCATTTCATCATCTTCCGCAAGGTCAAGAGCCTCCAAGTCATCCTCCTTCTCTAGGAACTTGTCCATTTCAACGACTTCGTTTCGTAGTGTTCCTGTCAGAACAGCAAAATTGGGATACAGGCTGCTGAGTCCGTTGCGACCCCTAGGCCCCCAAATCTCCCTTTCGAAATCTATGAATAGTGCATCTGTCTCAGGCGGAAGCCTTACCCCAAGCTTTTTGGCCGTGACTTGAACAGTCCGTAATGTGCCCCGTGCAAGAGGCCAGCGTCGAGAGGCTACTTTTGCCGCCACACAAAGATTAATAAACGCCTCTTGGTTCGCTGACACGTCAAGTTGTCCCAAGAGAGTGAACATGGCCACTGCAATCCAATGAATGTGGCTTGCTGGAAATATATCTATGCCCCAGGTAGACCGGTGTATCTCCATCAACCCGGCGATTTGGCGAGCAGCTGAAAGAGACATCTCTTTTGGCCTCAAATGCCGTTCTTGTGTGCCATGCTCCGCTGTTTTGGCGAGCTCCGTAATTGTGATACAAATATTGTGATAATACATACTGCAATAAAGCGTTAAATGGAATCAAAAATCCTGTCAAACACGGATGTGACATACTGTAGACATAATACGTGGGGGAGGATCACACGCCCAATCTCGATCCTGAGACATGGCTTGAGGGTCTTTTTCCACACTTCCAGACGTTTACGGACTTTGTTTTTCATATCTTGAACCTCATCAGGCGTCGGATTCGTAAAGCCGTCGAAGAGCAACGTGCACCAATCATCAACGATTGTTGTTAGCTCAGATAAGCCATTGAAATAGCACATGTAGTGCCCCTGGAGAACATCGCCGTCGTGCGGATAAGGGTGCCATAGAGGACCGTCATTGTCATGAAAACTAGGCGGACATGGACGGCTAGGCTTTTCGATCAATGGCGGCTTTTGGTAAGCGAAGGCGGTTGCGCTGGGAGAAGTTAGTTTTACCCCACACACAATCACTGGTCTGGCATACATTGTCATGTTGTACAAACCCCAAAGAGTAAGATCGGTAACCCGTCGTATATCAGATGCCTCGTTAGAAGAACCGGATGATACGGTGCGAAGCGTGCGTTGAAGCTCCTTCGCAGCAAAAGCAAGCTGGCCCTGGTATATCCATCCCCGTCTGTCTTTGCCCATAAAGCATGCACTAAATCTAATAATCAGCATTTCGCGAAGTCGTATAGAAGACTAAAGACATATTAAGTCGTACCAAGTTGATAATACTGCCAGCCCTTGTACTGTGGCTAGGGTAGAATGCCCATCTTCTTGTTCGAAACATCTCTTCGCCTCGTTGTAAAAGTGTAATCCTCGCGTAGACGGATCGCTGGGGACTTCGTACGCCTCTGCAAAGTCTGAGTATGCCTGAATGAATGATTTCGTCAATAAAATGCCCATCAAAAGAAGAAGTCCGAGAGAAGTGGTCGGCAGCTTACACAGGCATCAGCCAGAATGGCATTAACCAGGAAGGGCGAGCAGAACTGGGAACTGAGCTTGGCTGTTTTCATGTCGCGTATAAACATGTCTTGGTCGAGGCAGGGAAAGCAAGGGTAGCGCCACGTAAAATATAAGGAGACAAGGTGCGAGACAAAGTGATCATCATCGGTTATTCTAGTCCAGGGTATTGCGGGTACACGAAAGACAGGTTGATCGGCGAGTCGCTTGATGTTGAGCACTCTCCGAGGTATTTTGACAACAAATTCATCTGACAACCGGACTTCATCTATTGTAGAATCGAGGGCGCTGATATCTTTTAGCTTGTCCTCGACAAAGAGTTGAAGTTCTTCCAACGAGGGATTGCTGCGAATTAACTGCAATAGGGAATGCACCCGTGTGACGCCACCATTTCGTAATATCTCCAGTACCTGCACGAACAGATCGCGGTCGCCTTCTAAGCTGTCTATCTTCCGCTTAAGGTTAATTTTGCGGCGAGAGTCCGTTGCCTCGTCGATATTGCATTCGAGATCGTGCTTGACGCAGGAGTCGCATGGTGCTGTTCCGCTGCACTGGAAGAGATGCAGGGTTAACTTCGTAAACGGTCAAAGTACAGGCAAAGCATGAGAAAATGTGAGAACAAACCCTCGCCTTCTTGAGGCGGCAATTTGAGCAAGCTGTAGAAACCTTTCTCGCCGAAGCTCGTGGCACGGGGTCCTTAACTGGGGCTGCAGGGGCCAAAATCCGTTGTTTTCTCTCCGAGGTCATAGATTAAATGTTTTACTG